ATGGGGAAGTGGAAAAGAATCTTTCCTCCGTAAGCCATGCGTGTCGTATGAGGCGACTAAAATGCCGGGAGCAATGGGCTAGTAACCCCTTCTCCTGTAGACATTTACTAAAAAAGAGAAGAAGAAAAACTTTATAAAACTGGGATGCTTAAATGTGCGTGGATGTAGTGCGGATGACAAGAAACAGATGATTGCTGATGTTATGAATGAAAAGAAGTTGGATGTCCTGGCCCTAAGCGAAACAAAGCTGAAGGGGGTAGGGGAGTTTCAGTGTTGGGAAATAAATGGGATTAAATCTGGAGTATCTGAGAGAGTTAGAGCAAAGGAAGGGGTAGCACTAATGTTAAATGATCAGTTATGGAAGGAGAAAAGAGAATATGAATGTGTAAATTCAAGAATTATGTGGATTAAAGTAAAGGTTGGATGCGAAAAGTGGGTCATAATAAGCGTGTATGCACCTGGAGAAGAGAGGAATGTAGAGGAGAGAGAGAGATTTTGGGAGATGTTAAGTGAATGTATAGGAGCCTTTGAACCAAGTGAGAGAGTAATTGTGGTTGGGGACCTGAATGCTAAAGTAGGAGAAACTTTTAGAGAGGGTGTGGTAGGTAAGTTTGGGGTGCCAGGTGTAAATGATAATGGGAGCCTTTGATTGAACTTTGTATAGAAAGGGGTTTAGTTATAGGTAATACATATTTTAAAAAAAAGAGGATAAATAAGTATACAAGATATGATGTAGGGCGAAATGACAGTAGTTTGTTGGATTATGTATTGGTAGATAAAAGACTGTTGAGTAGACTTCAGGATGTACATGTTTATAGAGGGGCCACAGATATATCAGATCACTTCCTAGTCGTAGCTACACTGAGAGTAAAAGGTAGATGGGATACAAGGAGAATAGGAGCATCAGGGAAGAGAGAGGTGAAGGTTTATAAACTAAAAGAGGAGGCAGTTAGGGTAAGATATAAACAGCTATTGGAGGATAGATGGGCTAATGAGAGCATAGGCAACGGGGTCGAAGAGGTATGGGGTAGGTTTAAAAATGTAGTGTTAGAGTGTTCAGCAGAAGTTTGTGGTTACAGGAAAGTGGGAGCGGGAGGGAAGAGGAGCGATTGGTGGAATGATGATGTAAAGAGAGTAGTAAGGGAGAAAAAGTTAGCATATGAGAAAGTTTTTACAAAGTAGAAGTGATGCAAGGAGGGAAGAGTATATGGAGAAAAAGAGAGAGGTTAAGAGAGTGGTGAAGCAATGTAAAAAGAGAGCAAATGAGAGAATGGGTGAGATGTTATCAATAAATTTTGTTGAAAATAAGAAAAAGTTTTGGAGTGAGATTAACAAGTTAAGAAAGCTAGAGAACAAATGGATTTGTCAGTTAAAAATAGGAGAGAAGAGTTATTAAATGGAGAGTTAGAGGTATTGGGAAGATGGAGGGAATATTTTGAGGAATTGTTAAATGTTGATGAAGATAGGGAAGTTGAGATTTCGTGTATAGGACAAGGAGGAATAACATCTTGTAGGAGTGAGGAAGAGCCAGTTGTGAGTGTGGGGGAAGTTCATGAGGCAGTAGGTAAAATGAAAGGGGGTAAGGCAGCCGGGATTGATGGATAAAGATAGAAATGTTAAAAGCAGGTGGGGATATAGTTTTGGAGTGGTTGGTGCAATTATTTAATAAATGTATGGAAGAGGGTAAGGTACCTAGGGATTGGCAGAGAGCATACATAGTTCCTTTGTATAAAGGCAAAGGGGATAAAAGAGAGTGCAAAAATTATAGGGGGATAAGTCCGTTGAGTATACCTGGTAAAGTGTATGGTAGAGTTATTATTGATAGAATTAAGAGTAAGACGGAGAATAGGATAGCAGATGAACAAGGAGGCTTTAGGAAAGGTAGGGGGTGTGTGGACCAGGTGTTTACAGTGAAACATATAAGTGAACAGTATTTAGATAAGGCTAAAGAGGTCTTTGTGGCATTTATGGATTTGGAAAAGGCGTATGACAGGGTGGATAGGGGGGCAATGTGGCAGATGTTGCAAGTGTATGATGTAGGAGGTAGGTTACTGAAAGCAGTGAAGAGTTTTTACGAGGATAGTGAGGCTCAAGTTAGAGTATGTAGGAAAGAGGGAAATTTTTTCCCAGTAAAAGTAGGCCTTAGACAAGGATGTGTGATGTCACCGTGGTTGTTTAATATATTTATAGATGGGGTTGTAAGAGAAGTAAATGCGAGGGTCTTGGCAAGAGGCGTGGAGTTAAAAGATAAAGAATCACACACAAAGTGGGAGTTGTCACAGCTGCTCTTTGCTGATGACACTGTGCTCTTGGGAGATTCTGAAGAGAAGTTGCAGAGATTGGTGGATGAATTTGGTAGGGTGTGCAAAAGAAGAAAATTAAAGGTGAATACAGGAAAGAGTAAGGTTATGAGGATAACAAAAAGATTAGGTGATGAAAGATTGAATATCAGATTGGAGGGAGAGAGTATGGAGGAGGTGAATGTATTCAGATATTTGGGAGTGGACGTGTCAGCGGATGGGTCTATGAAAGATGAGGTGAATCATAGAATTGATGAGGGGAAAAGAGTGAGTGGTGCACTTAGGAGTCTATGGAGACAAAGAACTTTGTCCTTGGAGGCAAAGAGGGGAATGTATGAGAGTATAGTTTTACCAACGCTCTTATATGGGTGTGAAGCATGGGTGATGAATGTTGCAGCGAGGAGAAGGCTGGAGGCAGTGGAGATGTCATGTCTGAGGGCAATGTGTGGTGTGAATATAATGCAGAGAATTCGTAGTTTGGAAGTTAATAGGAGGCGCGGGATTACCAAAACTGTTGTCCAGAGGGCTGAGGAAGGGTTGTTGAGGTGGTTCGGACATGTAGAGAGAATGGAGCGAAACAGAATGACTTCAAGAGTGTATCAGTCTGTAGTGGAAGGAAGGCGGGGTAGGGGTCGGCCTAGGAAAGGTTGGAGAGAGGAGGTAAAGGAGGTTTTGTGTGCGAGGGGCTTGGACTTCCAGCAGGCATGCATGAGCGTGTTTGATAGGAGTGAATGGAGACAAATGGTTTTTAATACTTGACGTGCTGTTGGAGTGTGAGCAAAGTAACATTTATGAAGGGGTTCAGGGAAACCGGCAGGCCGGACTTGAGTCCTGGAGATGGGAAGTACAGTGCCTGCACTCTGAAGGAGGGGTGTTAATGTTGCAGTTTAAAAACTGTAGTGTAAAGCACCCTTCTGGCAAGACAGTGATGGAGTGAATGATGGTGAAAGTTTTTCTTTTTCAGGCCACCCTGCCTTGGTGGGAATCGGCCAGTGTGATAATAAAAAAAAAAAAAATAATATATATATATATATATATATATATATATATATATATATATATATATATATATATATATATATATATATATATATATATATATATATATATATATATATATATAGGTTGGAGTCCATGACCAAAAGTTCGTTTACGGATCCATTGTCTGGGATAATCTAAAGGGCTCTGATATTAGCATATTTCAAATATGTTAGCCGTGATACCACGGACTTCAGATACTGTCAGATCAGCAGACTTTGAACTGCTTGAGGCCCCGCAGTGAGGACGTAGTGAGACACGTATCCCCAGACAGCCAGGATATCAGACTGCAGGCTGGGCTTTCTAACACCTTTATTTTCAATATATCAGTATAACTGTCTCAGTGAGTTATTATTCGCCACTGCTCCACTTCAGAACCCTTCACAACAAATGGTGACATGAAACTAGACCTGCTTCCCCCAACAACTGCAAACAATCACACGGGGATGGCCCAGTAGTGGAGACTATAGCCTCGACAATGCTTCAGAGTGTGTTGGGGAAGGATAGAGCCCTCGTGGCAGTGAGAGCTCCTCATGCAGGGGACTTTCTGATGGCTGTTCACAACTCCAGCCTTAGCACACGTCTTGACTCACAGACCATCCGCACTGGTGTTGCCCATCGACCTACCGCCCCTATTCTCGCCAAACACAGGTGTATTTGCGGCAGACAAGCTGCAGACAGATTCGGGTACCACGGTCTTGTGTGCCGTAGATCAGAGGAAAAGACTGCAAGGAATGAAGAGAGTAATAACATTATCAAGAGGAGCCTCACAGCCCAGCAATAAGAAAGTCACCCCAACTATGCAGATCTGAAGCAGCCAAAAGCATCCAGACAGTATCACCCTTCTAGCCTGGACAGACGGCAAGCAGGTGGTGTGGGACTACTCATGTGCATCTACCTTGGCTGATACCTATCTCCAATACATTAAGGAGGAAGGAGGGGCAGCTTCCAGCTTCACGGAGTTCCAAAAGTCTAGAAAATACAGTGAACTTGCTCATCATTACATGTTTCTTCCCATGGGCTCAGAGATCCTTGACCCATGGAGCTAGGCAAAAGACTCATCAAAGTAACTAGGGATCCCAGGCAGGCTAGTTTTCTGTTCCAGCGACTCAGCGCTGCGGTTCAAAGGGGTAATGCCTGCTGTATCCTGGGTACACGCCTCAGCCCCGAGGAGCTGGATGAGATTCTTGCATTATAATCTGTGATAAACAAGTAGCAATATGCACTTGAAATGTATCCCTCAAACCTCATGTACTGTACATGCCATCTCTGTACCAGCAATGTATATTTTAAATATTATGCACCATATTATGTAATAAAATATACCTATTGGTATATATAAAAAATAACAGCACAAATATATATAACGTGTGTATATACTTTATACGTGAAAATACTGTAATATTTTATTCATATTTATTGTTATTAAAAAAATAATTGGTTAGGTTTAATATATTTATTAAATTTCACAAAAAAATTATTTAACCTTGCTGTTAATTTGTCAAAGTAAATGTAAACTTAATTTGTGAGTCAGAAATAAAAAAAAAGGCTCATAATAAACCTGAAATGGCCAATGGAATTCTATAATTCTGACTTTCAAAAACTCTGAAGATTTTGTATTTGGAAAATTTTCAGTTTCTGAGAGAAAATAAAACAATAATCAACGTTGGTGAGCAACACTTTATTAACATAGAAGGAATTATTAAACCAGTACATGTCATTTATTATCCCAGTACACGTCATTTATTATCCCAGTACACGTCATTTATTATCCCAGTACACGTCATTTATTATCCCAGTACACGTCATTTATTATCCCAGTACACGTCATTTATTATCCCAGTACACGTCATTTATTATCCCAGTACACGTCATTTATTATCCCAGTACACGTCATTTATTATCCCAGTACACGTTATTTATTATCCCAGTACACGTCATTTATTATCCCAGTACACGTCATTTATTATCCCAGTACACGTTATTTATTATCCCAGTACACGTCATTTATTATCCCAGTACACGTCATTTATTATCCCAGTACACGTCATTTATTATCCCAGTACACGTCATTTATTTGCCAATCAAATGATAGTTAAAAACCAAGATATATATATATATATATATATATATATATATATATATATATATATATATATATATATATATATATATATATATATATATATATATATATATATATATATATATATATATATATATATATATATATATATATTATATTATGAAGTTATAAACTCGTGTTGATCATTTATTACAAGTAGTGGCACAAAAGTGTCACAGGGTCGATCCTCCCTTCACTAACAGAAATTATTGTGGCAGTCTAGCCCATCCTTCTTTACTGTAACTCATGAAACGCTAAACTCGTGTGGGCCATTCAGCACATATGCTCATCCTTCCGTACATAATACATCATCACAGTCGTAATTACTCAGTAGTTTACAATTTGTCTAAATAACTTCCCTAACTTGCTTGATTTTTAATGTTTTATTTTTTATTAAGGGTAGTGTGGGCTCTTGATTTATGGTATTACAGCTTTCATACCCTTCCTCTGTTTACCTCCTGTTTCCCAGGAGTTGTTAATCCCCCGGCGGGTTTAGCTCTTTCCTATGAATAATGTAAGATCTAGTCTTAAACCATACTATGACTTATATAGACCCAGGCAACACATACTATGACTTATATAGACCCAGGCAACACATACTATGACTTATATAGACCCAGGCAACACATACTATGACTTATATAGACCCAGGCAACACATACTATGACTTATATAGACCCAGGCAACACATACTATGAGTTATATAGACCCAGGCAACAAATACTATGAGTTATATAGACCCAGGCAACACATACTATAAGTTATATAGACCCAGGCAACACATACTATGAGTTATATAGACCCAGGCAACACATACTATGAGTTATATAGACACAGGCAACAAATACTATGAGTTATATAGACCCAGGCAACACATACTATAAGTTATATAGACCCAGGCAACACATACTATGAGTTATATAGACACAGGCAACACATACTATGAGTTATATAGACCCAGGCAACACATACTATGAGTTATATAGACCCAGGCAACACATACTATGAGTTATATAGACCCAGGCAACACATACTATGAGTCATATAGACCCAGGCAACACATACTATGAGTTATATAGACCCAGGCAACACATACTATGAGTTATATAGACCCAGGCAACACATACTATGAGTTATATAGACCCAGGCAACACATACTATGAGTTATATAGACCCAGGCAACACATACTATGAGTCATATAGACCCAGGCAACACATACTATGAGTTATATAGACCCAGGCAACACATACTATGAGTTATATAGACCCAGGCAACACATACTATGAGTTATATAGACCCAGGCAACACATACTATGAGTTATATAGACCCAGGCAACACATACTGTGAGTCGTATAGACCCAGGCAACACATACTATGAGTTATATAGACCCAGGCAACACATACTATGAGTTATGTAGACCCAGGCAACACATACTATGAGTTATATAGACCCAGGCAACACATACTATGAGTTATATAGATCCAGGCAACACATACTATGAGTTATATAGACCCAGGTAACACATACTATGAGTTATATAGACCCAGGCAACACATACTATGAGTTATATAGACCCAGGCAACACATACCGAGTTATATAGACCCAGGCAACACATACTATGAGTTATATAGACCCAGGCAACACATACTATGAGTTATATAGACCCAGGCAACACATACCGAATTATATAGACCCAGGCAACACATACCGAGTTATATAGACCCAGGCAACACATACCGAGTTATATAGACCCAGGTAACACATACCGAGTTACATAGACCCAGGCAACACCTACTATGAGTTACATAGATCCAGGCAACACATGTTTGTGCACAAGCAACTCATGCAGGGGACGTGGTCATCCTTGCTCGTACAAAATGTTCAGTGTTGGCTACGAAGCAGCAGTCAGTATGTGCTATAATTATTGTTAATAATGGTAGGAGCAGGTCAAAATGGTGATGTGAGTGAATGGAACAGATCAGGTTGTGAATGTTGGTGATGGTGGTGCTCCTGGTGTAGTAGTAGTTCAAAACTGTGATTGTATTGCCTGGAACAGATCAGGATGGAGGAGGTGGTGATGGCAGTGGAAATAGATGGGAATAATGTTGGTAGGATCAGTTTAGCATGTTGGCAGTAGTAGCTGGAATAGGTTATTAGGAGAAGTGGTTGTGGTAGCAGTAGTAGTTGTGATAGAGGTAGTAATGATGGGATCATTTGGATGGGTGAAAAGGACAGTTACCAGGAAGAACGCAGTAAGCGTATAGCGGATCAGTATTAAACACCAGGTCTCCTGTACACTCGTGGTAGATCCCTTGTGCTCCCGCTCCCGTACATTCAAAATAACCTGGTTGACATGAGAAATGACACTGAGGGAAAAAACCTTCGCCAGTACAGATTAGCGAGTTGGCGCAGTCAAAGATGTTGTAGTAGTTGTAGTTTTAGTTGTAGTTGTAGTTGTTGTAGACTTCACATTACTGGTACTACCTGTACACAATGTAATACACGAAGCGTCTGAAGAACATCGACCAGTTTGGAAATCGAAAACTTCACCAGATGAACACGGAAAGTGATAATCCTCGTTAGGTATTCCCACTTCAAGACACATGTAGTACTTTGTGCAGTCCACGGGGTCGGGAGCCTCCACGATCCCTGGTCCGCAGTAAGGAGTGCACGAAACTGCACAGCAGACTTCTTTGTCCTTGACACAGTTCTCCCCGTTAAAATAAGGTTTGTCATCAGGACAGGTGAGGGGTCCATTCACCTGACCAGCGGTGCAAATGTAGTATTTAGAACAGTCAAATGGGTCACTAATCATGCTGTAAGAGCCGTTACAGGTGATGGGGCAGACTGTTACCTCACATATAGGCGTACAAGCAGGTCCCGGGGCACAATCACCATTATCAAAGATCATGCCAGCATCGCAGGGTAGAGCGTGGTCTGATGGTATCTCATCCTTGCAAAAGTAATAGTTGGTGCAGTTCTTGGGGTCTGGGACCTTCTCACCATCATTTTTCCCAGTACAGTCTGGTGTACAGGAGTCTGCATAGAGCATCCCGGCGGTGCTCACCACCTGTGTCAAGGAGAAAATATACAATATAAAACTGTGATATTAACTTCAACATAATAAAATTATCCAACTTAAATATTGATACAATGGTAAAAAAAAACAATAATAATAATAATAATAAATAATAAAATGAAATAATAATAAAATATAATAATAATAATAATGTATACACATTATTACCTAGCTCCGTTACCAACCAAGTTAAACCGTTGTAAGTAAAGTTTTATTATTAATTATTATTATTATTATTATTATTTTATTATTATATTATTATTATTATTGCAGAGGTAACCCTCTATGGTACATAGTGCAGACAGGATCACCCAAAACAACAATATTACAAGAGCTATGCATGGATATAACTAACCTAAGTTCTGTCTGATGTATTACCCAGCTGAAGGTTCTCCGTACAGATGTATATATCCAGCCTGAAGGTTCTGTAGATATATACCTAGCCTGAAGGTTCCTGTCAGATGTATATACCCAGCCTGAAGGTTCCTGTCAGATGTATATACCCAGCCTGAAGGTTCCTGTCAGATGTATATACCCAGCCTGAAGGTTCCTGTATGATGTATATACCAACCTGAAGTTCCTGTCAGATGTATATACCCAGCCTGAAGGTTCCTGTCAGATGTATATACCCAACCTGAAGGTTCTTGTCAGATGTATATACCCAACCTGAAGGTTCTTGTCAGATGTATATACCCAACCTGAAGGTTCCTGTCAGATGTATATACCCAACCTGAAGGTTCTTGTCAGATGTATATACCCAACCTGAAGGTTCTGTCAGATTATATACCCACCTAAGTTCTTGTCAAGGTAATATACCCAACCTGAAGGTTCCTGTAGATGTATATACCCAACTGAAGGTATCCTGTCAGATGTATATACCCAACCTGAAGTTCTTGTCAGATGTATATACCCAACCTGAAGGTTCCTGTCAGATGTATATACCCAACCTGAAGGTTCTTGTCAGATGTATATACCCAACCTGAAGGTTCCTGTCAGATGTATATACCCAACCTGAAGGTTCCTGTCAAGGGTATATACCCAACCTGAAGGTTCTTGTCAGATGTATATACCCAACCTGAAGGTTCCTGTCAGATGTATATACCCAGCCTGAAGGTTCCTGTCAAGGGTATATACCAAGCCTGGAGGTTCCTGTCAGGGGTATATACCCAGCCTGAAAGTTCCTGTTTGGTATATACCCAGCCTGAAGGCTGCTGTTAGGGTATATACCTAGCCTGAAGGTTCCTGCCAGGGGTATATACCTAGCCTGAAGGTTCCTGCCACGGGTATATACCTAGCCTGAAGGTTCCTGCCAGGGATATATGCCTAGCCTGAAGGTTCCTGCCAGGGGTATATACCTAGCCTGAAGGTTCCTGCCAGGGGTATATAACCAGCTTGAAGGTTCCTGCCAGGGGTATATAACCAGCCTGAAGGTTCCTGCCAGGGATATATACCTAGCCTGAAGGTTCCTGCCAGGGGTATATACCTAGCCTGAAGGTTCCTGCCAGGGATATATGCCTAGCCTGAAGGTTCCTGCCAGGGGTATATACCTAGCCTGAAGGTTCCTGCCAGGGGCATATACCCAGCCTGAAGGTTCCTGCCAGGGGTATATAACCAGCTTGAAGGTTCCTGCCAGGGGTACATAACCAGCCTGAAGGTTCCTGCCAGGGATATATACCTAGCCTGAAGGTTCCTGCCAAGTGTATATACCCAGCCTGAAGGTTCCTGCCAGGGGTATATACCCAGCCTGAAGGTTCCTGCCAGGGGTATATAACCAGCCTGAAGGTTCCTGCCAGGGGTATATAACCAGCCTGAAGGTTCCTGCCAGGGGTATATAACCAGCCTGAAGGTTCCTGCCAGGGGTATATACCCAGCCTGAAGGTTCCTGCCAGGGGTATATAACCAGCCTGAAGGTTCCTGCCAGGGGTATATACCCAGCCTGAAGGTTCCTGTCAGGGGTATATAACCAGCCTGAAGGTTCCTGCCAGGGGTATATAACCAGCCTGAAGGTTCCTGCCAGGGGTATATAACCAGCCTGAAGGTTCCTGCCAGGGGTATATACCCAGCCTGAAGGTTCCTGCCAGGGGTATATAACCAGCCTGAAGGTTCCTGCCAGGGGTATATAACCAGCCTGAAGGTTCCTGCCAGGGGTATATAACCAGCCTGAAGGTTCCTGCCAGGGGTATATAACCAGCCTGAAGGTTCCTGCCAGGGGTATATAACCAGCCTGAAGGTTCCTGCCAGGGTATATAACCAGCCTGAAGGTTCCTGCCAGGGTATATAACCAGCCTGAAGGTTCCTGCCAGGGGTATATAACCAGCCTGAAGGTTCCTGCCAGGGGTATATAACCACCTGAAGGTTCCTGCCAGGGGTATATAACCAGCCTGAAGGTTCCTGCCAGGGGTATATAACCAGCCTGAAGGTTCCTGCCAGGGGTATATACCGCACCTGAAGGTTCCTGCCAGGGGTATATAACCAGCCTGAAGGTTCCTGCCAGGGGTATATACCCAGCCTGAAGGTTCCTGCCAGGGGTATATAACCAGCCTGAAGGTTCCTGCCAGGGGTATATAACCAGCCTGAAGGTTCCTGCCAGGGGTATATAACCAGCCTGAAGGTTCCTGCCAGGGGTATATAACCAGCCTGAAGGTTCCTGCCAGGGGTATATAACCAGCCTGAAGGTTCCTGCCAGGGGTATATAACCAGCCTGAAGGTTCCTGCCAGGGGTATATAACCAGCTGAAGGTTCCTGCCAGGGGTATATAACCAGCCTGAAGGTTCCTGCCAGGGGTATATAACCAGCCTGAAGGTTCCTGCCAGGGTATATAACCAGCCTGAAGGTTCCTGCCAGGGGTATATACCCAGCCTGAAGGTTCCTGCCAGGGGTATATAACCAGCCTGAAGGTTCCTGCCAGGGGTATATAACCAGCCTGAAGATTCCTGCCAGGGATATATCCCAAGCCTGAAGGTTCCTGCCAGGGGTATATACCCAGCCTGAAGGTTCCTGCCAGGGGTATATACCCAGCCTGAAGGTTCCTGCCAGGGGTATATAACCAGCCTGAAGGTTCCTGCCAGGGGTATATAACCAGCCTGAAGGTTCCTGCCAGGGTATATAACCAGCCTGAAGGTTCCTGCCAGGGGTATATAACCAGCCTGAAGGTTCCTGCCAGGGGTATATAACCAGCCTGAAGGTTCCTGCCAGGGGTATATACCCAGCCTGAAGGTTCCTGCCAGGGGTATATAACCAGCCTGAAGGTTCCTGCCAGGGGTATATAACCAGCTTGAAGATTCCTGCCAGGGATATATCCCCAGCCTGAAGGTTCCTGCCAGAGGTATATACCCAGCCTGAAGGTTCCTGCCAGGGTATATACCCAGCCTGAAGGTTCCTGCCAGGGGTATATAACCAGCCTGAAGGTTCCTGCCAGGGGTATATAACCAGCCTGAAGGTTCCTGCCAGGGGTATATAACCAGCCTGAAGTTCCTGCCAGGGGTATATAACCAGCCTGAAGGTTCCTGCCAGGGGTATATACCCAGCCTGAAGGTTCCTGCCAGGGGTATATAACCAGCCTGAAGGTTCCTGCCAGGGGTATATAACCAGCTTGAAGATTCCTGCCAGGGATATATCCCCAGCCTGAAGGTTCCTGCCAGAGGTATATACCCAGCCTGAAGGTTCCTGCCAGGGGTATATACCCAGCCTGAAGGTTCCTGCCAGGGGTATATAACCAGCCTGAAGGTTCCTGCCAGGGGTATATACCCAGCCTGAAGGTTCCTGCCAGGGGTATATACCCAGCCTGAAGGTTCCTGCCAGGGTATATAACCAGCCTGAAGGTTCCTGCCAGGGTATATAACCAGCCTGAAGGTTCCTGCCAGGGGTATATAACCAGCCTGAAGGTTCCTGCCAGGGGTATATAACCAGCCTGAAGGTTCCTGCCAGGGGTATATAACCAGCCTGAAGGTTCCTGCCAGGGGTATATACCAAACCTTAAGTGCTATGCATTAAAATACTTTTCACAACTATACAAAGTTGGATACTTAAAGGTATTATATATATACCTGGATGACTGGATCTTCTCATTGTTGTATGAAATTTCAGTTTGTAATGAGGATCATCTCAAAATTCCCGACTCTAAGGAAAACTCGAAAATTTATGTTGTTTAACATATTTATGTAAAAGTTGCATGTTAATATTTCAAGTGGAGCCAAAAATTAACATAGCAATATGAGATAATATCTAAAATTAACGTAAAGTGATTAAATTTAATTAAAAACCATGAGAATCTAAATGAAAAAGCGTCAGCATTTTCCTTGGTTTTGGGGATGGTGTTTTGAAAGTTGGTGCAGGGCTCTTGATCCAGGAAACTGGATTAAACTGACTAGTGTGTAGTCACATTAAAATTATATTTAGAAGAGTGTAAATATAATTCCCTGACCCCACGGGGTGGTCAGGGAAGAACACAATCGCTCACCGCCAGAGAAATAATGACGAAAATTTTCGTGTTCATGGTGGACACTAAGGAGCTTCTGAACCGTCCACCCAACTTCCAGTGTTGTTATTTTTGGTGGCCGCAGGTGTGCTCTGGTGGCCACAGATGTGCTGTTCTGGCTTACAGATGTTCTTTGGGTACTGGCGCAGATGTGCTGTGTCTGCGGAAGTCTGCATCGTCTGCCTGTCAGCCAACACTTATACCCTTACGCTTATCATTGTGTGGGCGTCACCGATGTGACAACGTAGGGAGGAGACCATTATGGTCAGATTGCGTCATGAGATACTCGAATATTACCAAATGAGGTCACAAGGTCTCTTAGTACGCTAACGCAAAACAAATCTTATAACTACAACGAATCAGACAATAGTAAGCGGAGGAGGATAGGGTGACTGGCAACGGAGAAGGTGATCCACAATTTTTATTGAGCAAAATTGGGAGCATCAGTAATTTGGGAGTGTCTCATTCTACATGACGGTTATGTAGTGAGAAACAAGCAAGTTATGGATCCCTGTCGTATTCCATCACACGATGGATTACTTATATCTCGTAATAAAACTTGCCAGTCTGATCTGGGAGGAGGAATAAAGACACTGGTAGCAAAGGGATTCTTTTAATACAACGTTTCGTCTAAAACTGGGTTTTATCAAGCACCTTGATAAAGACCGGCTTTGGATGAAACGTTGTATTAAAATGATCTGCTGTTACCAGTGTCTTTATTCCCACTTGTCGGTGTTTGCCATTGTCAGCCTGAGCTGAGAGACTCAGTAAGGCGAGGATATCCTCAAGTATTATACTGTGTATTCAATACCTACGAGGCGATCAGAAGTTTGGCTGCACCAGAGATGAGGTTACTATTATTTGGGAATTGCCATCTTGCGAGATGACCTCTCCCATGTCACCCACGTCTCCCAGGTCACCCACACTGCAGTGTGGGAGGACTGTTCCACCATCATTGTGGTAGTAACGGTGCTACCTCAACCCACGCAACACACACTACTCCCTCCAAAGAGTACCATAATCTTGGCACTGATAAAGTAACTGAAATTATTCTCCTTTTCCTTGGATCAAATATGATTGTTTCTCCCATTTTCCTACGGTCTTAGCACACACCCTTGAGTATAATGATAGTACATTATAACCTACAATGGGAGTGTGTTATTTCTACATATGTGGGAGTAATATATTACAACAACTGAAGATAAGTAGATTAAGATTAAGACTCATAATAGTTTAGTGTTCAACAAGGAATATAAGAATAATATGTAACATTAACAGTGATTTAGATAACCATGACTTAGCACACAGCTGCCATAGTCTGTCGTTTCCTATATATTGTGAGATAAGATAGGTTTTGTGTCGTCCTACGTGAGCAATCAATGTATTGTTGGAAGGCGCTCACGTAAGTGTTCATCACTCTGCAAGAGGTGAGTCTTGATGCTGGAGAAGGGTTCTTGATTCAGAGAGCTGGAATTATTCTCCATTTCCTTGAATCAAACCTGGTTGCCTTCCATTCCCCAGACTCTGTATGACAGCTATTGGTTCAATCTCTCTCCGTGAATATGATAATCAAGTGTTTGCTTATGGCTTCAGATTTTATCACCTAAGTCTTGGTGTCTGCTGAGAGAGACAGAGATAGTTTCACTTTTTACATTAATATAATGTTATACTGATGCTGGTTTATATTTACTTAATATGACGGTATTTAATTTTCATATATGCTTGGTAATGTGAATGGTTTATATTTTCGTGAGATAATTCTGATTCTTAAATGTTAGTGTGGTGGATTTTTGCTTTTCATCAGTCTTTCTCCCGGTAATATAAGGAGATCCCGAGAAAAGAAACATAATCACCATCATTCATTCAACAGCCATCTTCCCAGAAGGGCACAGACATCACAATTCAAACAATCCTCCAAACTGGTTTTATCGGCAGCATCACTGATTGACCTCTGGAGTCGAAGTACTTCATAAATCTCACGGCTTCTGTCTTCCGGTTGGTGCGTCCACAAGCTGGTGACTTGTTACATGGAGTCGTCCAGGGTGGAAGGTGAGACTGGGAAAGGGGCGAGAGGGTGACCTTCCATGAGTCAGTGAAATGTTTCTGGATGTGGGGAAACTTCCCAGTGATGAAAGAGCGAACTTCAGTGTACGAAGAGTATTGACTTTCCAGTGGAAATAAGAAAACCGAACTTCGCTATTAGAAGCTCACTGACCTTCAAGTGAGATTATGGAAACAATTTCTGCATGGGGAGCAGCTGAACTTCAGGTGGGGGGTGAGAAAACTAAACTCAAGACGGAGAGTTGGTAGATCTTGTAATTGGTAAATTAGAGACATTTGAAGCACTTAGATATGTTTATTGTCGAAAAGTATCGCCTACACATTAGATTTCTTCAGTCAAATACAGGTGAAGACTAAAGGTATAGAAGTAGCATTTGACGTTATCAGTCCCACACCCTCGGTGGGAGGTGGTCAGTCCTTCAAGTGTAAAACACAGGCATGTGGTCAGACTTTATGTACTCGAGTAGATGCGAGTCGAAGCAGCTGAGGTTACAGGTGAGCGTGTGGCCCACGAGTAAAACATCATTGTAACCAATGGTACAGCAAAGAAAGTGTAGAAGACTTCTATACCAATATAGAATGGTGTTGCTGCGTCAGACAAGTGTATTACTGATGGTAGACCAACAGGTTGATAAATAAGACAAACGTGTAGATTTTGAGTATGTGTTGCAAAATGTGTCTTGGTAACCATCTTGTTGGTAGTGCAATACCACCAGCAATACAATAAATCTAGTAATTGTATTCACGACGAGTGTATTTCCTGACACTGAAACTGACACTAGAATCTAAAATAAAAAAAAAACTGAATTCATAAGTTTTAATTTTAATATAATGAGGTACTTAAAAAACAGAATGTTTATAATGATACATTTCTTCCAGTATTAATTTTTTATTTACTTAAAAATGCCTGAAAAATTATTTGATAATTTTATTGTGCTGTTTTGATAATGGGACCTAAATCTTAAGTTCCTCAGCCATCTTTAGGATTCTGACCACAGTCTCGTGTTCTGACCACAGTCTCGTGTTCTGACCACACTTGCGTTCTGACCAGTCTCGCGTTCTGGCGACGGTCTTGCGTTCTGGGAGGACTCTGAAAGTACTATCATGCTAGAACTTCCAGTAGGAGAGGTTGAACTTGGGGATGCACCTGGAGGAGCATGGCATCTCCGGGTTGTAGGCACTGACCACCTGGAAGGGCCACCGCTGTACCGAGGTCATGTCCAACATGGTGTCACACATCACCTGCGCCATACTCACCTCCTGCAGCTCCCGTAGTTGGTCTGTGACAACAGGTACATGTTATCGCAATCACAGCTCCAAGAAAAATGAAATGTCATTAAACCAATACAATAATAATAATAATAATAATAATAATAATAAGTGTTTATAGCAGTAATACCAACAGTACAAATAGTGAGAGCAGACAACACCTCAGCAAGAGAAGTTATTATCTTTGTCCCCTCAAGGAAGGTTCCTTGATGTTGGTGAGGGGCTCTTGATTTAGGAAATTGGATCTGTGCTCCAGTTCCCCGAATTAAGCCTGAATGCCTTCCACATCCCCCCCCCCCAGGCGCTGTATAATCCTCCGGGTTTAGCGCTTCCCCTTGATTATAATAATAATAATATTATCTTTGTGCCAGGGATGTGGGGGCCTTCAGACTAGTGACAGGCTCTTGATCCAAGAAGTTGGAGCTATCCTCCTCTTCCTCGGATCATACCCGACTTGCCTCCCGTTCCCCAGGCACCAAACCCTCTAAGGGTTTTGGCGCTTTCCCATGGCTATAATAATAAATTTTAATTATAGAGCATTCTATAATACGCATTATATGTACCCAGCCAGCAAAATATAATGCATCCTGTTTGTCGTATCTCCTCAAGTAAGTATATACAGTATACCCCGAGAGGTGCATATATTCTTGCCTGTATATATGTATAAAGTTAACTTGAATTCGATTTTAAGGTATTAAAGTATTCTTGACCGATGCTGAACAGGTTATATGCATTCTTAGGAGTAGTCGATAGGCTTTAGGCCCGATAAACCTACCATCCCCAAGAACGAGTGCTCTTCAGCGTTACCTGGGGTGAAAGCTCCCGGTCCATCCTTGTACTCGAACCAGTAGCGGTCACCTCGCTTGAGCCTGAGGAACTGGTCAGCCAGGAGGCAGGCGAAGGTGGGTCCCACCTGCCCTCCTGCCACTGGTAGTTCTGACAGCCCGCCGGCGAACAGGTCGATGTCTTCGACACTCCTGCATGCACAGGAAGTGTTAATTACATTAATGTAAGTATAGTTTCAAGGGGTGAAAGGGAAGGTGCCGTGATGCTAGTGAAAGGTTCCTGATTGCAGAGAATTGTAGCTATCTTCACCTTGAATCAAATCTGTGTGACTTTTAGGGGTTGAGGGCATCAACATAAATATAACAATGTGAAAATATTTTTGTTGTTGGCGTCACTGACCATGTTTCGACTACCTACACGTCCCTCAAATATTTAAATGTGTATCTAAAACATATAAATATGTACCTCGAGAATGTAAATATGTACTTCAAAGATATAAATATGAACTCCTAGGGCGTAAATGTCTCGTTAGGATGTAAATCATTGCTTATTTTTTATTGAATATAATCGAGACACCAGCTGGCAACCATCACTGCTGGCAGTAAAACAGGAGTCACCTTCACAACTCGCTTGTAGCCTCTCGTGTGGATTCGCCAGACATTCGGATAACATAGAATGGAACTCCTACAAAACTCGTAGACGTTGTACAGTATCTCTAAGTAGGCAGCATAGATAAAGCAAGCCTAGGCTTCAGAACTTACTTGTAGACCTTGCGTAGACTACTAAATGCTTCGGGCAACATAGCTACAAGACCCGCCTTCGGAACACGTAGGCCTTGCATAGATTAGCCACGAATTCAGGTAACAGAGATAAAAAAAAAATAACTGCTTCAGAACTTACTTGTAAACCTTGCGTAGATTCGCCAAGATTTCGGGAGACATGACGCTGGCGAGGTCGTCGAAGGAAGCAACGGCTGGGAAGCCACAAGCTTGTCTCACCCTGACGTAGGCGCTAAGACCGTGGTCTCTTCCGCGATTGATATTGATAGCTACGAGGTCCAGCCCGATACCCCCGCCACCCTGAAAGAGCTTGCCAGCGATCTACAGAGGAAAGAGAGAAATATGCTGTTGAATTGGAGGGGAAAGAGTATGAGAGAGAGAGAGTATGAGAGAGAGAGAGAGAGAGAGAGAGAGAGAGAGAGAGAGAGAGAGAGAGATCACAACTCATCAGTATGGTTACATAAACTCACATTTTTTTTCCCCGGAAACTTTAAATATATAATTAAAAATAACTCGGTGAAAAACAATAGGAATAGATTATGTATGTATGTATATATACATGAATAATTGCTGCTGCTGTGGCTGTTGTTGTGGTTGCTGTGGCTGCTGTTATGGCTGCTGCTGTGGCTCCTGTTGTTGCTCTGGCTGCTGTTGTGGTTGCTGCTGTGGCTGCTGTTGTTGCTGTGGATGCTGTTGTGGTTGCTGCTGTGGCTGCTGTGGCTGCTGTTGTGGTTGCTGCTGTGGTTGCTGTGGCTGCTGTTGTGGCTGCTGCTGTGGCTGCTGTGGCTGCTGTGGCTGCTGTGGCTGCTGTGGCTGCTGTGGCTGCTGTGGCTGCTGTGGCTGCTGTGGCTGCTGTTGTTGTTGTGGCAGCTGTTGTGGCTGCTGCTGTGGCTGCTGTGGCTGCTGTTGTGGTTGCTGCTGTGGTTGCTGTGGCTGCTGTTGTGGCTGCTGCTGTGGCTGCTGTTGTGGTTGCTGCTGTGGTTGCTGTGGCTGCTGTTGTGGCTGCTGCTGTGGCTGCTGTGGCTGCTGCTGTGGTTGCTGTGGCTACTGTTGTGGCTGCTGCTGTGGCTGCTGTTGTGGCTGCTGCTGTGGCTGCTGCGGCTGCTGCTGTGGTTGCTGTGGCTACTGTTGTGGCTGCTGCTGTGGCTGCTGTGGCTGCTGTTGTGGTTGCTGCTGTGACTGCTGTGGCTGCTGCTGTGGTTGCTGTGGCTACTGTTGTGGCTGCTGCTGTGGCTGCTGTGGCTGCTGTTGTGGCTGTTGCTGTGGCTGCTGTGGCTGCTGTTGTGGTTGCTGCTGTGGTTGCTGCGGCTGCTGTTGTGGTTGCTGTGGCTACTGTTGTGGTTGCTGCTGTGGCTGCTGTGACTGCTGCTGTGGTTGCTGTGGTTACTGTTGTGGCTGCTGCTGTGGCTGCTGTAGCTGCTGCTGTGGCTGCTGTGGCTGCTGTTGTGGTTGCTGCTGTGGTTGTTGTGGTTGCTGCTGTGGTTGCTGTGGCTGCTGTTGTGGCTGCTGCTGTGGCTGCTGTGGCTGCTGCTGTGGTTGCTGCGGCTACTGTTGTGGCTGCTGCTGTGGCTGCTGCTGTGGCTGCTGTTGTGGCTGCTGCTGTGGTTGCTGTGGCTACTGTTGTGGCTGCTGCTGTGGTTTCTGTGGCTACTGTTGTGGCTGCTGCTGTGGCAGCTGCTGTGGCTGCTGTGGCTGCTGCTGTGGTTGCTGTGGCTACTGTTGTGGCTGCTGCTGTGGCTGCTGTTGTGGCTGCTGCTGTGGCTGCTGCGGCTGCTGCTGTGGTTGCTGTGGCTACTGCTGTGGCTGCTGCTGTGGCTGCTGTGGCTGCTGTTGTGGTTGCTGCTGTGACTGCTGTGGCTGCTGCTGTGGTTGCTGTGGCTACTGTTGTGGCTGCTGCTGTGGCTGCTGTGGCTGCTGTTGTGGCTGTTACTGTGGCTGCTGTGGCTGCTGTTGTGGTTGCTGCTGTGGTTGCTGTGGTTGCTGCTGTGGTTGCTGTGGCTACTGTTGTGGTTGCTGCTGTGGCTGCTGTGACTGCTGCTGTAGTTGCTGTGGTTACTGTTGTGGCTGCTGCTGTGGCTGCTG